AGTTATGAATTGCCGCGCCTGTGCCCTCCCGTCAAATCCCCACCATGCTCCGTGGGGCATGGTGGGGCCTGGCGTGGCTGGTGTTTCAAGGGATGCAAAAGCGGTTTTAAAAAGTGTAGGACTTCGTTAATTGATCACAATCAAGGATCGGAACTTTGGTCGGAATATGTTCAAAGTCTATATTAATTTACGAGCTCTCTTGACCTTCAGGAACTACTAACAAACATTCAAGCATTCTAACAAGCATTCAAACAATCGTTCCAGAGATCGCGTCTTCGTCTTCTTTACAACAAGAACCTGGGGCACGCATATTCGCTTTTATCTAACAAGCATTCTATTCTAAAGGTTTTTATACAAATCTTTAGAATATAATGCATGTTAGTTGTTCCTTGCTTATAAGCCGCACATATATCAGTAGAAGACTACTGTCTTGTATGCACTTACATACCTTGTTGTTATTCTCTCTTAGTTAGAGGAAGAGCTTAAGGCATGTAAAAGAGACTTGGAAGAAAAGGAAAAACTAATTTTGGATCTCACAAGGTAAGTGCATTTGGCTACAAACTTCATTTAGTGCCTCAGTATGGACGTAAAATCTTTCAAGAGATCCCAAAGAAAAGAGGCATGTATCATTTCAAAACCCACGTCAGAAGACGCTGCTCGTTTAAAGAGAGATGAACTGGCAAGTCTCCAGGCGAAAGTTGGCAACCTCTGTTCAAAGGTTTATCAAATTTTAAAATACACTGAGATCTCTTTTGTAGACTCTTGATCAGGAAAATGAAATTAAAGTGCTTGGCCTTCAGCTACACAATGCTAACAAAGAGAAGGCACATGTTGCCAAAGAACTGGAAGCTGTGAGGAAGCAAGAAGAAACAAAATCAAAACTTCTTCAGGAAAAGCAATCATTTTTCCTGGCAGCCGAAAATGAAGCCCGAAATTTAAAGACAAGAATTAATCAACTAACCGAAGATTTACAAGCCGCACAAAAACAGATCGAAAACCTAAATAAACGAATTGAGTAAGCATTCCCGTTTCGTGGACCATTCATATTATGCATACAACTAAACTTCTTACTAGTTGCGTTTTAATGGGTTTGTGTTTTAGGTTCTACAATTCCTTCATTATATACAGCCTCACAGATTTGTCAAACAGGAAAATACAAATTCTGAATACTGTCATATTTAACTATTCAGTTGACCCCATTGTGAAACATGTATAGCCTCGGCGGGATTCTTACCCACCTCAGCAGGACTAATTGTGCCTGGTAGTCATTCCGGTGGCTTCTAAATGATTGCTTAGGAAACCCTGGCTGCGCAGTCAGCTAACCGTATCCGTATTGGTGAATTACATACGTGCAGTGGGTTGGGCAGCTAAACTGACCCAAGTGTGATTGACTTTACTGCTTTCGGCATGTCTTAGTAGCTCAAATTGTTGCACATTGGCTGTACTAAAGCCTTACCTGTTGTTGCGGGTTCGAATTCCAACGAGGCCGCAAATTGTTCCCAATTTGGTCAATTGAATTATTCAAATCTGTCAAACCCTTCCTAATATTTAACTATAAGCAGTTAGTACTTTTGCATATTTCTGGAATATCTGTGAGCAGACACATGCGAAGCCTAGGCGTTTTTCTTATTATTTTATTTACGTTATTGTCATTAACGTCAGGTTGTGCATGAAGTTTTTGCAGGTATAACGCTTTCAGCTGTATCAGTTCTTTTGTGAAAAGATGCAAGTCTTGTCGTATATCGGTTGCAATTGTCTGTTTAGATTCCTGTGGAATACTGTTGGAAATTGAATCTTAAAGGATCTTGCTATTAACTATAGGCGACTAGCCATAGAAAAGGAGAAAGAATCGTCCGCGTTAAAAACCTGCGAGGAAAGCGTTCAGAACTTTGCGGAATGGATGTATACTTTGGTGTACGCAAAGCGTAAGGTAGCCTTTACCGATTATGCGAAGTATTCATGTGAGGACATCGAGGATTTGAAGAGCAAGGTAAATAACCTCTGTTAGATGACGAATGCATATCAATTTGCCTGTAAATTTGTAAAGTGTTAACATTCGGAAAGAGCTTCTACTATATTGTATATTTAAACCTGCTTTCGTATAAAAATGAACATTTATACGTCTACTCTACCTTAGTCATTACTTCTTTTACGCCGGTGTCAATTCTTGAATTAGTATGTAAACTTGATCCCTCTCCTATACAGACGTGTGCTGGAAGCGTATCACATATTATTTGAACGGTCTCCTGAGGCAAAGCACACGCCTTAACACTGCACAGCTTTTCAGAAACGGAGATCTCTCGACTGGCAAATCGAATAAAAATATTTTGTTGTATGGGACCTCCTTTATAAACAATGATGGAAATATTTAGAAGAAGTGTATAGAAGCTGTGATGGTAATCCTTACCTTCGTATTTGTGAAGTCACCTGCATTGCTGAGTTTTGGTACGTTGTAATAGCGGCTTACTACGGAATTTCAGATTAATACAAAAAGAGCTTGTTTACGAATGGAAGCGAAAAATATGAGCCCCAGGTTTTTGCTGCAAGAAAGGTGAAGGCGCGGTTAGTGGGACAGTACGTGTAATTGTCTGGGCTTTTGGCTTCGTGAAAGATACCCTCTTCAGCTAGGTAATTATAAGTACTGTTCCAGTAATCACGCTTTTATCTTCCTTACAGCAAAAGCCTGGGGCTCATATATTCGCTTCCATTCTTTGCAGATGCTTAGTTTCTTAAAGATATACAACAGAAGTTAATTTTCTGAGCGTATCCGATTTAACGCAACAAGGCGCATGAATATTTTTTGCGATTAATGATATTTTTGTGAATAGAACTATATCATAGAAGTTACTCCAACAGAAACTCCTCATGCTTTAGTGCGCCCATTGCCCGCAAGTCCAGTACAAACAACTGTACTTCAGTAGACAATATACATTTGCCGAGGTACGCAGATCATTAAGATATACCTGTCGAATATTTACAACCACATATTCTTAACTAATTTCGGGACCAGGCTGTGGACGAATAATTTGGCAAAGAGCTAAGATTTAAATAATTATTATAGTTAAATACCATCAAACAACCTGAAATAGGAGCGCTGATATACCTCAAATAACAAGATGAAAAAAGGTTAACGGATACCTGAATACTGAAAACTGGAAGCGCGAATCCTAACAGTCGGAGGCTTTAGAATCCTACTAGGTTATTCAAGGCAACACGTGAACAATCTGCCAGAGTTAGTTGCATGTACAGTTATTAGGTACGACCGTACCGCAGTGGAATAATTTCTTGCCATTGCGAAATAAAAAGTCGTCAGATGTCCTTGTAGACAAAATTCACTTGATGAACGAAAGTAAATTTTCGGATGCTTATAACTTCTCTGTTTATAGGCTATAACAAGGGATTTCAAATCTAAGACGCCACTTCATTAGTTGGAAATTTAACTTTGAAGTTCGACTAAGAGAAATCTTTATAAGGTTGCTAAAGTCCTGTTGTTATTGCAAATTATGATCAACAACGTAACGTTAAATATATTGCTACTGGGAATGCGTGCTGTTAACGTAAGCGTAATACTTGTTTATTCTGCTTATCTGATTAGCTGTCAATCATTGTTGGCCAATCACGGGAGAACGCAATGCAAATGGACGAGTTAAAGGATCTTTTGACGGTTAGGGACAAGCAGGTCGTCGAGTTACGGAAGACAACAAACCGCCTCACTGAAGAAATTCATCAATTGAAAGAGGTTGATCAGGAGACAGAAAATGCCGTAGTGGTAAGATTCCAGCTTGCTTTCCGCGTTTTTGCGCGGTTTTATGATTGCGGAATGTCGGCGGTATAGGTTTTTATTATTAACCTTCCCGTTTAAGTTAACATCCTAGTCGCTTGAACTTGCAATGTGTCGTACACTGGATCGGATTTAATAGAGAAGTAAGCTTATTTATCCGTCCCAGTTCAAAAACGGTCAGCGTATATACGTTTATAATACCTCCATTGCTCGAACCACTGGACACACTCACCTCGTTTTACTTTGAGGCTCGATCTAGAGCCCAGCAGGCATGCTCACAGTTATTAGAAGTAGCAGATTTCGGAGGGTTTAAGGGTGGGCATTTCGAGCGTATTAGCCTTCGTCAGTCAGCTTCGCCCAAATCCAGGTTTACAGCGTGCATGATTAAGCAGAAGTGGCTCTAAAAGATTAAATAGGCTGGAAGTGATTTTTGACTGCAGAAGGCTAACAGGCCAGAAATGGCCATCGCAGTCCTAGTTGTCCTTGTGGCCTAGATAACAAGCCTGCATATGGTTCTCTAGCTAGAGTATGAATGGATCGAATGTCCTGTATTTCGAGCGGTTAACTTTCCGCTTCCATAAGCCGAGCATTGTTGTCACTGCTCCCGGTGACCTTGAGTTAGTCAATTGTGCCGCTCGCCGCTGCGCTGGACGCAAACACTTTGACCTGCCCGTTCCTTACTTACTATTTCTAACTTCCTTGAGTTTGACCGCTGGCGGACTCGCGTGCTCTTTTTCCCTTTTTGAGGCCGGCGTAGCTGTAGGCAAATCAGTATGGCTGTTGACCCCCATCGGTGGACTGGTCAGTCGGTGTTCTTCGCGGACGCATCAGTGAAGGAGTGTTTGGTGTCGTTCACTGGACTTCGACCGCAACCCCTCTCTTCCGTGGGCGTCGGCTTTCAGTTCTATGTGCTCCTTTGCCCTATCTGTCCTGTTCGAACTGATCCTCACCTTGTACGAAGCACTTGGTAGGCGGGATACAGATCTATAGTTCGGTTGAATGTGCCAGTTGAGCAGCAACTTTCGTGTACCACTCTGGCCGTCTTACCATTGACTCGGACCATCATCCTCCCTCTCGCGAAGGCGACACAGATTTAGCTTTTTTACGTGACCATATATGAAGACAGTTTTTCTTCGCGGTTGCTTGCAAGTTGACTTCCGCCTAATCTTGTGCCCAGACGTTTGTCCAAATCACCGACATACCTAATAACACAATTATGGAATGGTACTTATAAACCACTGCTAATTCTTCAGTTTCTGGCAACGGGTCTCTGGGCTTCATTACCTGCCATTATGTCCATACCATTAGATCTAGCAAAACGATTCCTAGAGGAACTCCTATTTTCCTACGATGCAGATGCTCCCACAGCTACCGAACTTATAATCATAGACTTTTGTGGGGAAACGAAAATGCATTTTGGCACACAATGCTGTAAGCAACTCTAATGAGGTCACCCATTCCCGAGTTTCGCACCAAAATCACAATGCAGAACCTCGAGGCAACGGCTCTTGACTGAATTTTGGCTGTGATATGTAGACGACACATATATTGCCGTCAAAAAGCACCGACTGGAAACGTTGCATCATCCACTCCACAGTTCCGGAATCAAATTCAGCCTTGAAGAGAAAACTATCATTTCTGCATGTTCTCGTGCAAGGACTGACCGACGAAACACTACTTACATCGGTTTGCCGAAAGGAGACTTAGTTTTAAGTTATCCTACCTTATGAGAGTAATAAATCCATCGCTATCGAACGAAGCGTTGTCAGTAGTCTACTTATTACAGCAAAAACATAACGTTCTGCTTAAGAAAGCTTTTAACTCGGCTTGAGTTATTTCAGTAAATTAGGCTCACAGAACGAGTAGCCTACGTATCTTGTATGCCAATGCATAAGACAGCTTGAGTTATATTAAAATGAACCATTTATTCCCACTCAGACGCCCAACTTAAATACCAGACGAATTCTTCCTCACCTTTACAATGTCGCTGAACTCGTCAAAAGACACCCCAAGAAGCATCACGTACACGTGGCGCACAAATCGATGGATATTTGACGCATTCAACTTGTCTATCCTAGGGATAAGGTCAACCATTTGGACAAGAAAGAAGTCTACGTTGTTCCATGAAAATCCGCCTCTATACTCATGCACAGACATCGGTTGGCAATAAAGTGGTGAGAACACCCGTCCCAAGTTGCTCAAGTACCCTAGACACCGGGTACACCTATATCGAGGATAAAATTCACGCTGTCACTAGTATTCCTTTAAAGAAAGTCCGAGAGTACCTCGAGACCGTGCACTCGATAGGCATATCAAGTTGGATGTGGCTTACAGAAATCACAAGGAGAAACGTAAATTACAAGAGCCAAAAAGAGCAGGTTGAGACACACACCCTCGTAGTTGAAGTTGCTTTTGGCTAGAATTTTACAGCTACTAAGCATGCCCATTCTTTCTAGGACACCGCAGTCTGCTGTCCTCAATTTGCTTCACCCACCGTATGTTTCGAAGTCAAATGAAGCGAAATTTTTAATCTCTTTTTTGCACACTTTACATAGCTCCGCCTCGTTCCTGGGTTAATGCAGGAAGACGACTCCCATACCTCCTCGATTTCATGTGATGGGAGATTTTGAAATAATTCTGAGTCTTACGATTTGACTTTGGTCTGGTTGGCTTTCGCGATTCGAGTTTTCCCTTTTTCTGCGCTGTCAAATTTCTTGAAGTAATACTTCCCACCTACACAAAGTTGCCCACCCATATGAGAGGACTTCCCTTAAGA